AGGCAGTATGGCGCTTTCTCAAAAAGTTGAAAATTGAAATACCATTTGACCCAGCAATTCCACTACTGGGAATATATTCTAAAGAAATTAGAATTGCCATTCAAACAGATATGTGCATGCACATATTTATTGCTGCTTTGTTCCCAATAGCAAAGGGATGGAAACAACCCAAGTGCCCATCAATAAATGAACAGATAGAGAAGCTCTGGTATAGTCACACAATGGAATATTATGCAGCACTGAAAAACAATGAATTAATGAAATATTATACAAAATGGGTAACCCTGGAGGAAATTATGCTGAGTGAAATATCTCAGTCACAAAAAAGACAAATACTGCATAATGCCACTGTTACAAAACAAGACTGACATAGGGTGTGGGGCAAAACTATGAAAAAAGGGGATAAACAATGTACACTGCATTGAAACAGATGAGGGAGAGAACTGTTTAAAAGGGATATATGATTTGGTATTATTTGCATGGCAAGAGTTCAGAATAAGAGCTGCATAGTAAAGTGGACTGGGGTGGAGGTGGGAAATTGTACAACAATGAAAGAATTTTTTTTCAAACAGAAAAGTGAACTGTAGGGGAATGGGCAGGGAGGAAAAGGAGTAATAAAGAATGACTGGAAATTCAAGTTCTCTATAAATTTTCATTAAAATTTATAAAAAGTTATACAAAAATAAATTCCAAAGAAAGTTAAATACCTTCATGGGGGGGGGCGGGGTAATGGGGGTGGAAATGAGGGCATTACAGGAAAAAAAAATCAAAACTCTAAAAGAACTTAAAAACAAAACTCTAAAAGAACTTAAAAAATATCAATACAAGATCAATTGCACTATCAATGGAAATTAGAAGCCACACAAAAACTGCAAATTGAAATTCAGATACTAAGATCAAACTTAAGAAATTTATAATAAAGTAGAAGGAAAAAAGAGCACAATTGGAGACATGAAAGACATAATTACATGGAAGGCAAAGTCCTTGATAATAATCCATAAGACAAAAAATTGGAATAAAATGGAAAAAGCATAAAAACTACATGGGACAACATCAAGAGAAATAACTAACGTGTGATTGGAATTTTAAAACAGAAAGAGATAAGCACACTAACAAAAAACAAACTCCCATCCAAAAGACCAAAAGACTGTTAAAGGTTCACTGGAAGAAAACTCCCAAACATGATGATGATGATGAAGGAGAGAACATGCATTCAGGATGCTGAGAGAACCCCAGAGAAGATGGACACTGAAAAGAAAACATCAAGACATGTGAGAAAATTTTCCAACCTCAAAGACAAAGAAAGAAAAAAGCAGGTCTGGAAAAGCAAAGAATTATCTACAAAGGCGATTAACACTAAGATTCAGTTTCTCAGCAGAAATCACACTGACAAAAAATGTAATGGGATGAAAACCTTGAAATCAATAATTATACATCCAGCAACATTGTCCTTCATATATAATAATGAAGTTAGGGCTATCAGATAAGCAAAAATTAAGAGAATTTGTGAAAACTAATCCAATCTTATAAGAAAGCTATTGGGAATTCTTCACAGAGAACAATGACAGAAACACACATGACAATATAATTCAGAAAGCAACCAAAACAAAGCATAAGTAATGTAACTGAGTAACTACAGGAAACCGGATATATCAGTGGATGAATGAGGATGACTAGGAAATAATAATAAGACACAATAAACATTGTAATTACAGAACTTCCAAATAGAGAGGAAAAAAGGTACTCTCAAGATAAGGTGAATGACTTTAGACTTGGGAATGAAATAGTAAATTACAGGGTAACCTCAACAAAAATAAATAAGCATTGCTCTCTATATAAAAAAGAAGAAAATCACAAACTGTTATTGTTTGTTGTTGTTAGATACTGTCAAGTTGACTACAACTCATAATGACACCTTGAACAACAGATCTGAACCCCGCCCTGTCTTGCACCATCCGCATGATCTCATCCAAGCAAAGCCCATTGTAGTCATCACTGAGTCAATCCATCTTGGGTCTTCTTCGCTTTCACTGAACCTCTACCTTTCTCGGTATAGTATCTCTCTCTCTAAGGGCTGGTTCTTCCTGAATATGCCTAAAGTAAGTGAGATGAAGTTTCCCTACTCTTGCCTCGATGGAGCACTCTAATTGCACTCCCTTCAAAAGAGCCTTGTTTGTCTTGGTATATTCAACACTGCTTGAGAAACGACAATTCAAAGTCATCAATTCTTCTTTGGTCTTCGTTATTCATCATCCAACTTTCGGAAGTTCAAGAAGCAATTGAAAATACCATGGGGTGAGTAAAGGGCAGGATAGTCTGTAAACGGATATCCTTGTTCTTCAGAACTTTGGAGAAGTCCTTGGTAACAGATTTTTGCAATGCAGATTTTTAATTTATTGACTACTGTTACTAATTGGAGGCAGGAGTGGCATCCACTTCCTGAACAACATGCCTCTGGAAACTCTATGAACTTTGATAAACGTCAATAGTTATAGAAAGGCTTCAGGCCTTTTGTTCTTAGAGTTGCAACAAATTATGCTCAACTAGAAGGCAATCAACAACAACATCTGCAACTAAGGGTGTTGATTCTGGATCCAAGTAAGATTAAATTGTTGATAACTTCAATCCTTTCTCCATCAATCATGATGTTGCCTTGGTCCAGTGGTGAGGATTTTTGTTTTAATCAAGATTAGAGGAAGACTAATTACCAACTTGCATTACACAGATGCCATAATCTTGCTTGCAGAAAGTGAAGAAGACTTGAAGCACTTACTGCAAAAGATCAAAACTACAGCCTTCAAAATATATATATATATATATATATATACATCTCACCATTAAGAAAACAAAAATCTTCTCCAATGGATGGCACAAATAGACTACCAAATAGAATTGAAAATGTACAACCAATAGAGGATAAACGAGATGATTTAGGAATTCATAAAATTAAATCTTCATATGTGTGATAATTTCTCCAAAGGAATGGAAAGAGAATCTACAGATTGGGAGAAAAATATTTTGCAACAATACTTCTGTAAAGGGACTAAATTCTTAAAGACATAGAAAATTCAAATCTCTCAACAAGAAAAAGACAACTGCATTACAAAATGGACAAAGGACACGAGTAGACACTTCACCAAAGAAAACACTCAAATGACCAAGAGACTCAGGAAGAAATTCTTAATTTCTTAATTTTAATTCTAAAATGTCATCTCATCCTAGAGATAGCAGCAAATTTCAATGAGACAGTAAACAACGAATGTCGATGAGAGTGTGGAGAGATTGGAAATCTCATACATTATTGGTTGGAATGTACAGTGGTGCTGTTGTGGTTGGTAGGTGCCATTGAGTTGAGTACGACTCATAGCAACCCTATGAACAAAAGATCTGAAACCAGTCCTGTCCTGCACCATCCTGATATTTCCTGACACACAAGAGCCCATTATGGCAGTCACTGTGTCAGTCCACCTGGTTGAGAATTTTAACAAATTTTGCAGTCTGAAATTGACCGAACATGCAATCAGGATGTATTAATAATAGCTAGTGACTAGAATCCAAAAGTAGGAAACAATGAATAAGGAACAGTAATTGGAATATATGGGCTTGGTGATAGAAATGAGGTTGGAAACAGAATGATTGAATTTTGTATTTACAATGATTTATTCATTGCAATTACTTTTTCTAAAAGACACACAAGGTGACTTTACATGTGGAATTTACCCAGTAAGCTGTTTAGGAATCATATTGACTATATTTGTGGAATAAATCATTGGAGAAGCTCAATATTAGCAGTGAAAACTAGGCCAGGCGCAGACTGTGGGTCAGATCATCAATTACTCATATGCACATTCAAATTGAGGCGGAAAAAAACTACAACTAAGTCCATGGGAACCAAGTTATGATCTTGAATCAATTCCATCAGAATTCCATGATCATCTTTAGAATAGGTTTGAGGTATTGAACACCAATGCTAGATGACCAGATGAGTTGTGGCATGATATCAAGGACATCGTTCATGAAGAAAGCAAAAGGTCATTACAGAAACAGAGAAGAAAGAAAAAACCGAAATGATGTCAGAAGAGACTCTAAAGATTGCACTGGAACATCAGGAAACCAGATCTAAAGGAAAACACGTACAATGGTGCAACCACTATGAAAAGCAATTTTTGTACTTCCATAAAAAGTTGAGACTAGGAAGATGATTTGATTCAGCAATTCCACCACTAGATATATATCCTGAAAAAGAAGAGTGGTAACATGAGCAGATATATACATTCATGTTTATTGCAGTATTATTTACAGGTAATAATATTTGCAATAGGTCTGAACCCTGCTCTATCCTAAGCCAATTTCACTGTCCCGACACACCTACCCCTATCATCCCATTTGTTGTATGAATCCATCTCATCCAGGATCTTCCTCTCCTGTGCTGTCCCTCCACCCCTCCAAGTATGATGTTCTTCTCCAAAGACCAGTCCCGCTTGGCCATGTGCCCAAAATGTGAGATGGAGCCTCAAAATCTTTGTCTCCAAGGAGCAGCTTGGGTTCAACTTCTCCAGAACAGACCTGCTAGTTCTCTTGGCAGTCCACGGTAGGTTCAATATTCTTCTCCAGCACCAAAATGCAAAAACTAATGTGTTTTGTAAACTTTCATTCAAAACACAATCTTTTAAGAAATGGGCGGGGGGTGGGGAGTCATTAAACCACTAGATGAACTTTTCAAAACTTAATTTCCTTTTTCTATCTTCTTCTTCCCTGTTTTGTTTTCTTCCTTTTTATTTGCTCTTCCTGCTTCCCATATATCATTTTACACTTCAGAAAGAAACATTCCTTAAAAAGCTCTGTCTCATACTTTGTGGACTTTCCACTTGTAGTTTAGGAATTTATCTATAAAGCCTAGAACTGACAGGAAACTGTAAGCCTAGTGAGTGTTCACACAACACTATTTCCTAAGTGATCTCACAGAGACCCTGTGGTCAGTTTTTTAATGACCATCTTACCTGCAGTCTCAGAGGTTGGAAACTGAATGGCAGGCAACACATGGCTTTCTCGGTTTTTCATGCTGTTGTAGAATACACTTAACAGATGAGGTAGAAAGAGGACAACTTTAACAAAGCTTAATGATCCAGAGAAATGCTTCTGGGTGAAATCTGCAACACCACTGATGATATCATCAGCTACCTTGGCTGGTTTTTTCCCAGCATTTCCTGAAAAGGAGAAAAAAAAAGTATTGTAAAGAAGTTTCAGCTGGTATTGTAATTTGTTGTTGTTGTTGTTGTTATGTGCCGTATAGTCGCTTGTGACTCATAGCCACCCTATGTACAACAGCCCTAAACTCTGCTCTGTCCTGTGCCAATCACACTGTCTCTGACACTCTCATCCCGATTATCCCAGTCACTGAATCAATGCACCTCATACAGGGCCTTCCCCTCCTGCGCTGTCCCTCCACCCTCCCAAGCATGATGTCCCCCTCAAAGGACCAGTTCCTCCTTACAACATGTCCAAAATATGTCAGACGAAGCGTCAGGATCCTTGCCTCCAAGGAGCAGCCTGGTTTGACCCTTTCCAGGATGAATCTTTTTGTTTTCCTAGCAGTCCTCAATACTCTTCTCTGGCACCACAGCTCAAAGGCATCAATTCTCCTTCTATCTTCCGTACCTTAGTCTCCAGAGAGACACCATTGCTCTTTAGTACTTTGGAGATGTGTTGTAATATAGATTTGGGAAATGTGTTCTTAGTGCAGGAAAAGAGAACAGAGCAGCTCCTGGCAGTTAGGAGCTGACCTAGCACATGATGAGGTCTTAGTGTCCTTTGACTGAACATATGCAATTCCACAGAAATTCATCAAACATGGTCCCTCTCAAGCCATGATAAATAAAAAGACACAACTACTCCCTAATCAGGGCGGATCATGAAAGTGTGGATATTCATCAACAAACAAATGGATAAAGAAGCTGTGGTATAGTTACACAATAGAATACTATGCAACACTGAAAAACAAGGAACTCATGAAATATTATACAAAATGGGTGAACCTGGAGGACATTATGCTGAGTGAAATATCTCAGTCACAAGAGGGCTAACATGGGGGTTGGGGAGAAACTAAGAAAAGAGGGAATAAATAATGTATATGACATTGAAACAGATGAGGGAGAGAACTATATAAAAAGAACATATAATTAGATATTGGTATGACAAGAGTCCAGAATAATGTTGTGACCCACACTGTCAAACGCCTTTGCATAGTCAATGAAACACAGACGAACATTCCTCTGGTACTCTGCTTTCAGCCAAGATCCATCTCACATTAACAATAATATCCCTGGTGCCATGGCCTCTTCTAAACCCAGCCTGTACTTCTAGCAGGTCTCTGTTGAT